GCATTGGCCTTGAGTTTTGGGATATAATTCAACCTTTAGTTAAGCAAGTTTGTAGAAAATGTCACTTTTGGGGAAATAACCATCTGAATACATGGTTGCTTGAGCCCTGAAAGTCTAACAAAAAACATTAAATGTGTAAATGACACACAGAAAAAACATCCATCATTAAGTGCACAACCTGAATATGTATAGGACGGTTTTCAACTATACAGCACAAATGAAGCAGGCAGGCACTCACACACAAATTGATAGGTGTACACAAATAAATGTAATAACAGAGCTTATGTCTAAAAAAAAAAGAAGACCTAAACACAAGCTGCACTTTCTTTTCCAAGCAGGAGTTACTAATGCAATGTTGTTGTGCAGATAGGTGAATGCTAGTCACTCAGCTTAATATTTTTTTTAAAAAGCAAATTCATTATTTCATGATTGGCCAACTAGTCATACACAAAGTGGAGCCGCAATACAGTGGGTAAGTACATTTCCAAAAACAGCACATCATAGAATCATTGTTGGTCATTCCTTCTTAGTTTCTTCCAGCTCCTGTTTCACCTCTTCATAGGTAGGATCTTCCTCTTTTTCATCCCCATCATCCATCTTGGAGTTAGGGACCCAGAGCCCAGACTCTATGCACCTCTTCATTTGAACCTTCGCCTCCTAAGCACATAAAACAATCACATTTATTAACATACCCAAAGTAGGACAAAGAAGACACACGTGAATCAGGTAACTTCACATTTACATAACTGAAATATGAAATAAGAAACCTACCGTTGGGTCCATTTTGCTAATAGCCTCTTGTAACATTTGGATGTCCTTATCATCAAAGCATTTCTGCATCTCCTGCAATTAAGAACATGTTTTGTAAGGCATTTTAAACTTCAGAAAAGAGAAAAAAGTGCACATGCGTTTTGTAAAAGGACTCACAGCTGGCAGTGACTCGTACACCTCCACAGGATCTAGCCCTCCAGGTCCCATGCGTTTCTTCCGCTCCTCTTCCTCATACTCTTTCATTGCCTTTTCGATGCGGATCTTTGCCCTGCCCCGAACTCGCTCCTTGAACGACTCTAGCTCGTCGTTGAAAGCTTCCTGGTACTGCTGATCTGCTGTCTGTGAGTGGACACATAGTTGTGTGTGTTGGCAGACATAACAATGAGCATTTAATTGAACATAAAACAGGTATTTTCCTCGGTTTTGATGTTAATAAGAATGTTTTGATAAAGTTAGGAACCTGAAGAGTATGTTAACACCTATGGAGAGTCTTGATTTTACTGACCTCCAGTGGTTTAAAGATTCAACTCACTGCAGTGTTACAGTACAGGTGTACTCCAGTAACTGTGACATCACTACTACTGTAGGTCTGGTCAGAGTTGAAATTCTCAACCATGATGAAATCAGAATCCCTTCATTAGTCCCACGGAGGGAAAATGTGCGTAGTTACAGCAGGAAAAAGAGCCACAGACGGCTTAATGTTACATATGTTAAATATGTGACATGCATTTAAAAAAAAGTACTAAGTTATGATATAATTAAAAATATATATATAATAAAAAATCAAAAGTTACATAATTTTTAAAAATACACATCCTGTAACAGTTCTTAGGATTTAGCAGCCAGGTATATATCACACAGTTATTAACGGCATCTATAATGTGTACAATAATAAAATTGGGTTTAAGACACTGTTGTTTTTTTAGCATCACTTGACTTATTTGCCGATGTCAAAAACTGTAGTTCCTAGTTTAGGGTCTGAGTTTAGCTCCTGTTCCCTCCATAGTACCTTGAACTTTCTTTATCAAAAAAGCTATGAATTATTTGATGGACTTTGTGGCAGTTACTCACCTTGATCTTGGCAAAGAATTGCCGAAAGCAGCCGCGGGGATCCACCTTGAGGCTTTTTGCCAACTCCAAAATGAACTGCATGACAATGGTCTGATGAGCCACTTGCTCCATCAATGAGTGTTTCTACAAAAGAAAGGAATTTAAGAATAATGTACATATTTTCAAAACACTATTGCTGGTGCATGTTAAAGTATCACAATGTTACAGCCCATAAAACAAACTAATTACCAGTTCCCTTGGAGCTAAATGTTAAGAAAAAACATTGTTTGTTTTTACCTCCTCAACTTCAAGGTCAATGCACATGATGACCAGGTAGTTGGCAGTCTCTTCACACACTAGATGAGAGTTGTCAGAGAGGTATTTCTGGCTGTCATCCCAACGCCGCATCATGCCTGTAGTAAAGAAGAAGATGGACCTTTATGTTGAAGACAGCAATGAAAGGCCAGCTGTACTTTCTTTATATACCAACACTCTGAAAGATGCATAGATATCAATAAGACTTACCAAAATGTTTGATTTGCTTCTCGTTTTTCTCCACAAAGGTTTTATGCTTTGTCTCCTTCTCTTCTTCAGTCTCTTCAGTGGCATCAGGCAGGACATTGACGACGCTCTGAGGAGGACGGACAGGGGCAGAAAATCATCATTACAGACTATGTTTCTGATAAGGACAGAAGCTAATTTATTGTCTTATATACATTTTTATTTTTTTAATTGGATGGATAAATAAAGATATAATTAACCAGATTGTTGCAAAAGGGTGTATTATTTATTTTATAGCATAGGCCATGCAAATAAATCATCTTTAAATGATCTGAAAAAAGGATAGATACGCACCAACGTACTGTTAAAGTGCTATTGAGAAGTTACTTTTAAAATGATTAGACTAAAGACAGAAAAACACGACTCAATATATTCTAATAAATATAAACGTACCAAAGGCTGATAGAGTTTATTATTTAGTTTGTTACTTTCGTACTATTACAATCTTCTTAACCACATGTCATTTTGTTGAAATAGGGACTTGTAGTGAAAATATAACTATATGATGCCAATCCTAAATCCAAAATCTGCCTCACCTTGCTGAAACCCTCCTTGCTGAGCGTGTCGACGTTCCAGGGCATCTTCTTCTCTTCCCGGTTGTGTTCTGCTAGCTTCTTATCTATATCTCGCTCCTCTTTTTTCTGTTTCTTCTCCTCGGCCTGGGCTTTGCTCAGCTCTGCTTTGGCATCATCGGTTGATGAAGCGGACAGCTCTTGTACTTTCTTTTGTGCCTCTGCCAGCTTACGACGGCTCTCATTAAGTGCCTTGCTTATATCGTCACCCTTTTTGTGGTAATCTTCCATTCGCTCCACACGTGCCTGAAGAACAGAAATGATAACAGTTATACATAAGTCCACAGCACAGGTACAAGGGTTTCATGTTGTCTTTAGGGAACTGGCTGAAGCCATTGGAGGCAGCTTCTCCATCAGTAATGGTCAGAGATGACTACCTATACCACTGATAATGACAATATTAGGTACACACATTATCTAGAAAATGTGTTGTGATCATTTAAACTAATTAAAATGGGTAATATGATACTTTAGCACCAGCAGTAATGGTAAGACCACAACATATCACAATAACAGTGGGGGTCAGTGTTGCAGAACAAATGCCAATGTAAAGACGTGAAGCAAGCTGTAGTCTGTTTAGTCCAAAATAAATCTGGTTTGGGTTCTACCCCTCTCAATGATTTATTGAAGTTATTTGCAGTCGTATACATCACCAAAGTGAGAACAGGACACAGTTATGAAACGAAGTATACATGTAAATACGTACTGTAAATATACAATTGTTTAAATCTGTACCTGGTGTCTCCATCTGAAGAGGCTGGGTGTGTCGATGTTGGGGTGGGTGTCATCTTCGTCGTCTGACACCTCGATATGGTCCCACACGCTGTAGTCTATCCTAGACATTATACCAGTACGAGCCAAACAACGTTAGCTTCGGATATGACTCGGCTAAGTTAGGAGGCTAAACCAAGCTATCCTCAATCTCCAATCTAATAAAAGCCGATGAAGCAAACAACTCAACACTTTTGACTAAGATGTTTTAGTAGTCGATATAGTGGCTGGCTGTTTCTGGCCAAGGCAAACTTAGATGGACCTACACCTACCTAAGGCGGGCTAGCGAGAAACTGCTACAGATTTCTAGAAAGAATCGTTGCTGCACATTTCCGTTTGGCGTCACTGCGTCATTACGTCACTGCGTCATACGCATGTACGACGCCGGAAAAGAAAAAAAGACGACTGTTGTTGACGACAGTTAGGTGCTCATCAAACTCAAATAAACTGTGTTTCATGCACATGGTTACTGCTTATGTTCTGCAAAAAAAGCATCAACTATATTTTTGCAACAGAACACCACTTTTATTTTAATGTATATTTAGGTGATGTCAATTATTCCCAGTAATAAGATGTGTTATCAGAGTCCCGACTGTATTTTCAATTATCATAGATGAGACCTCTGCTTACGTTAAAGATGTGCTAAGTTATATGATTGTATTATATATATTTAGTATTCAAATTGTTATTATTAATAATAATAATAATAATATATTAGTATGCTGCTGGAACTGCTACCCCCGCGACCCGACCACGGATAAGCGGGAGAAGATGGATGGATGGATGGATAGTATGCTGCCTCATATGGATGTTTCCTTTTTTTATATGTACTACTTATGTTGTACATGTCATCTCCAATAACCTATGCCTGTCTGTTTTGTTTGTATTTTAAAAATACAATTTCATGTAATTCATCCAATTTATTTTTGTTTATTTTGTATTCTTGAAAATCAATAGAGGTGCTGCGTTATATTGGTAATTATGTTAGGTCAACAGAGTCAGTGTACTATTTAACTACAAAAAAATGGGTCAGGCAGGTGTCAGTAAAGTAGTCTGTACACATTAAATCCTGGAAAGAGGTATAATCTCTTCATATACAGTCAATAGGTCTAATCAGTCAACATTATATTCAAACAAAACTGATTGGTTTACCATGAGTGATTGCAGGCCCTTAAAAAGTCACATCTGCATTATGAATGTTTCAGTAGCTCAGGGGCTGACATTGCACAACAGTGTTCCTTTGAATTTGATGACATGAAAAGCCACAGAACACAATTGCAGAACACAATTATTTTTAATAAATAGTCAGTTGACATTGACAGTGTACATTATACATTTCCAAAAGTTATGATGTGCCAGAGAGGTAGGACATTCTGACTGGTTGAACACGGGTTTAATTTAATAACAGTACTAGTGGTTACACTCCATATAGCCTACTGTAGGTGTGCCAGCCCCAGGGCTCAAGTGCCTTTCTGCAAAGACATGTCAAAATGTTTGCTTCGAGAAAGGCCATTTCACAATTCTTCAAAGACTATTTAAGTCACTGTACTTCGCTGTTGCAGGATAGAGACAATGTGACAGTAAATAAAACATTGATACAAAGTGACTTTTCACCATGATTCCCATCGAAAGCATCCCACAGGGAGCTATGTGTTACTTTCGCTGGGTTTTGAGTCCTTGAACCCGGAGCAGCAGATAGAGTTTCCGGCCTGAGACTCACAGCAGCGCCGCATGTCCCGGATCACATCCTGACACATGCTCTCCACGTATTTGTTAGCTGCAGGAGGAGTTAGCACATGTTACTGTGGGGTTTACTTAAACAAAAACATAATTGCATTCAAATGACTGTTTTGTGTACCTTGTAAACAGTGTTGAATTGCACATGCTTGCTTTTGACACGGATCTTTCTGTGGCATATCTCCTGAAGCGGACCGAAAAGGGACCATTTCAGAATATGTTAAAAGTAAACACATCAGGCACTGCATTACAAAGGACAGAACATCACTCATAGATATATAAAACAGTTTCGTTGTATATTCTTGTCCCCACCTTGTCTTGAATCCGGGTAGATTGCAAGGATGTATTTTGATGACGATTTAGATTAAAGGTCGTATGTTGGTGTGAGCCGCACTTCCTTCTGCGGGACAATGTTTTGATCACGTGACGTTTGGATAGAATTTCAAATCATGATGTGAAAGAGTACAGCAGCGACACCTGGTGGTGCGTAATGAATTACATGCAGACATTAAAACAATACAAACTGCTATTTCTGTTCTTTAGAAAAATAGTCTTACCTCTATGAATTTATGGGAAGACCGTTGCTTATTTTTCACATATCGTATTTTAAAGACTTTACACAAAGTAGTTTGGTTAGTTCGATAACACACAAAAAGGCATAAATGCTTTATAATACATTTCATAATGGCAACAAGGGAAAGTAACTGAAGGATTTTGACCAATTTGTGAAAATACTTTTTATTTTGACAAACAAAAGTTATGTCAATTTAAACCTCTATTATAATAATTGTGTCTATAAAACTCATTGCTCTGTGGTTGTTACTGTCATATACATAATACTTGTAGCCTGATTCTGAACATGCTATGTTTTTTTACTTGTTAAAGGTCATTTTTATTCAAAATCACTTTATGTATGTTCTTATGACACTTGACCCACAGCCAACAGTAACACGTTCATTCTGATAATATTATATTATCAGAATTATTATATAATATATTATATTTCACCTGGTTAAATAAAGGCTACAAACAAACAAACAATTAAATCTAGGTAAATCTAGGTGTCAAAAAAGTGAAAATCAAATATTTTTTCATTTAACTTTTATTCATAAAGATAAGAAAATTAACAATTCATATTTACAGTAATGGCCGGTTGATCTTTAACGTTCCCTAATTAATTTCCAGCATACATTAATGATAATGTCGTCATCATTTTATATCAAGAGTAGCTACACATTGGTAAGATTACACGATAATTTCATTAATACGAAAATAGATCTAGCAAATATATAAATTAGAGAAAGGATATCACATTGAAAGCATAACTATATCCTAAATAACCAATCTATCTCACGAACACTTTCATGTTAAAATACTGACAGTTTAAACAACAGTTACCAAACAAAGTATATCAAATATATTGTTTTTAATTGAGATCTAATCCTGCCTGATAGCAAGATCCTCATAAATATCTGTTGAGTCATGAAGGTCATTTCCATCTCCAAAGCAGCAGCAGTAAAATCCCCATTGTTGGATTCTCCTTGTATGTCCATTGTTGTCATCTGAGCCCTTCTCAGGATTTCCTGTTTCAAACACCTAAGTGAAAGCATGAGAAGATGCTGATTAAGAGGCAGTGTGTAGAGACTACATGTGCACTTCAGAGTCCCCTCATACCTTTGGTCTTGGCCTTGATGATAAACTGCTTGCTCTTCTTCTCCAGTGTATTGGAGGCTGTGCATGTGTAGGTCCCTGGCAGCAGTGAGGAGGAGGTAAGAGCTGCTTCATCGCCCATCCTCTCGGGAATGGGATTGGAGGATTGCCAGCTGTACACGGGCATAGGGTTCCCTGTGGCGGTGCAGTTTAAGGTCATTTCAGCACCTACTGTAAGGTCCAAGACCGCTGGTACCGGATCGAGGAAAGTAGGAGGAACTAGAGCAAAGATCACAAGGATTAAATTCAGCATATTCAATTGAGTGAACATACAATTCTATTGAATTAGAAGTATGTATGCAGGGTAGCTTGCGAATTTCACCAAAGGATCATAAGAGTGTTATTTTAACATGTAATTTTACAAAATTGATCATTTGTTGATTTTATTTTTGCATTATTTCACACTCCTGTTATCCTTGGGGTCAATTTGACACCATTCAATGTTTAACGTATCTAAAAAGATGGTTCACATTATTTGTTTTGCTTAGTATTTCATGACTTTTCCTATTTTAGTGAGGACTAATGGGTAAACATAAAATGAACATGAATCATTTTTAAATGTCCTGTACACACTTTGTATGCATTGGTGTTCCTTGGGGTCAATTTGACCCCAGGCTGTTTTAGTAGTATAAAACATGTAAAAATGTCAACATTTTACACATATTTGTGTTGATTGTGTAGGATGATATTGAGGTGACTATTACATGCAAATGTACCATTGTAAAAAAAAAAAGCCTCTGCTTTAGTTATTAGTCCTTTAACAACATCAAAAAGATCTTACTTTAACATTTTTTTTTTTTTTTTTTTTATTTATATATTTTTGATAGTCACATAATAGGAATTCTGGACATATAAAGGGGTCTGTGGGGGGGAAGGTTGGGGTAATGTTTTATTTAAATGGTTATTTAGGTAGTCAACTAAGACACCTAAAGCACCAGAGACATTTTCTTGAGTTTTAAACTATGAGGATAAAGGGTGTAAAGTAAATCTGAGGATAACAGGAGGGTTAATAGAATTTTTTTTTACATTTTTCTATAAATGTAAAATGTTGCCTCAAAATTCTAGTGTAGTAGAAATATACTGTATAGTCGCAGGAAATGTAAATACTCGTGAAAAAGTCAAACTAAAATACTTTAGTAACTGTATTATATCCACAACATTAAAAATATGATAGATATACATATAGACACTTTCTCCGCTGCTATGACAGTCTTGCACTAATGTACATTTTTCACAGATTTTGAAGTGACTGTTATTTTGTATATTAATTGATTGTTGTGCTTTTATTTATGTCTTCATGTGTGCATATGTATAACATGTGTCTGTTGGTTGTGTATTTATATATACATATTTTTATACATATTTTTATAAATATTTGTATTTTGTATTAGGTATTTCGATCTCTCTGTCTGTACACACAAACTGAAAGATTGACAATAAAGTTGACTTTGATGATAACTGTTTTTGCAGATAAGCCTCAGGACTTACAGTACACAGAGGCATTGAGAGGCTCCGAGGTCACAGTGGGGGGGGGCTGTGGTCCCTCTGGTCCGAGCTCCAGCTCCGCTACGCACCTGTACTGTGCTCCATTTTCGGCTTTTGTTGGTGTGACCATGAGGATAGACGACACTTGGACAGGAGATGATGATGTGAGTTCAGTGAAGGAGTGGTTGTATACCTCAGTCTGCCCCTTGTACCACCTCAGGGTTAGGTATTGAACCGGAGCAATGTTTTGAACCTCGCAGAGTAACTGGTACTCTTTTCCCTCCACCATGGGGCCAGAGTGGTTCACAGGCCTGATGGAGACACTATCTGGGGTTTCTAAATAAATAAAAAGTTCAAGTCAAACAGGTTCATGTAAGTCAATAAGATCATTTTCTACACTGTGTGTTAAATAAAGGGTTGACTCACTGTAGAGGACAAGGTTGAGTTTTTCCTCACACTGTCTGGGAGCTGTGAAAAACACACCATAACAGATAGGCTCCTCTATCCAATCAATGAGGCTGTCTACTTTCCACTGGACGGACAGGTCCTGTTGAGTGTGTGCAGCACTGATGACAGACTCCCAGCCCAGGACCCGAACCGGGCGAGTGGCCTCACAGCTGACCGACACCGGCTCCCCAAAGCCCACCACCACCCTGGAGGGCTTCAGGACCAGGGAGCAACCTTCACCTGACACTGGGACACAATGGGTGGAAGTATCAGCATCAAACTTACAGAGTAACCACATTTAAAACAGAATGGCCTATTCCAGAGTAATATTCCATTATTGAGTATAGTTATTGTCATTGTGTACATTTTGCAGCTGCCAAAGGAGGAGCTTATTTGAATGACTATACAACTCTTAACCTATAATATTAATTTTCTTTATATTAATAATCTTTACTGGAAAGTAACTCTAGCTGTCAAATCAATGTAATGGAGTAAAACGTAGGCTACACACATTTTCTAAATACTCAGACTTAGTTACTTTTCACAAATGGACACAGTAGCAGTCATCGTCTATTTAGCCTGTCATCTCCCCCAGCTTCTTTTCACTTGTTGCACTCGGCCTCTTTTCGTATGCAGGCTGTAATGTTACCGTGTAACAACCAACAACACAGGAAATCAACGCAATCGCCTGTGTATAATTACACAACACTACATTGATTATGATGTATTTGTAGGCTATGCCATGTCAACAACATGTTTATTTTGTGGGCCCTCTATAAGGAATTAGGCCTACAGCTTAACTGTCAGCCCGTCATAATTACACTTGTGAAACATACTGCAGTAATAGAAATACTAACAGGCATATTTTCACGCTACAGAGATCAACAATCCTAATTACAATATCATTAGTGATTCCGCGAGGAATAAATAAAGCAATGCTTTAACGTGTTGTTACTCTGATTGTCGGTCTCACATTCATTTTATCACAGACTAGATGTCATCGTTTTCCAGAACATTTCCGCAACGAACAGCATCTATAACCCCAACAAGTGAGAAAACAACAAAAATCTTACCGGAGTAAATCATGCAAAGTGTCAGAATCCATCTAAAAAATGTGATTCCCATGTTATCTTGTGCACTGAGCCGTCGATTCAGGGGCGAGAGAGAGAAACAAATTCCAACTTGTACAAGCTTGGCAACTCTGCAGGGAACTATGTTGGAACAAAAGGGCCCCCTTCATCCCAGCTGACTTTGGGGGTGGGGGAGGGGGGTGGGGGTGAAAGGGAAAGAGGGAAATTTAACAGGTGGCAGGCCTCTGAAAAACACAGCGAAATCCTTTGTACTGCACTGCTCTTATATAAAATGCATTATAAACAGGACATTGCAGGTCCCACCTTAGACATTCATATTACATCACCGGGAATAATATTGTACTGAAAGTACAAGATGAATACATCAATTTACAATATCCGTTTAAAACCCCAGTCTTAGAGAACAATATTTGGTGTTCAAAATGTTGTCAATTTTGAAATATACCAATACATCTTCAATGCATGTAAAAATCATTGTAATACATGTATAGCATGTTTTAGTATAAAGTAATTAATCTATTCCAGCAACCAAACTTTCCCAATATCTTTAAACTGAAATAATGCATACACATATTTACAAGAATCCAAACTTTATTTAATTTAGGTCAAGGGGGGATGTTTTGTTTTTATACTTTCTACATTCCAGCCTTAGGTGTGACCATGTTCTGCTTTCCAACCAGAGATTTGATCTGTTGTTTCGGCCATCATGACTGGCTGTGAACAACAGCCTGTTTTCAGTTCTGCTTGCATTCTTGTATCCTCTTGCTTCTGAACTCCATGCTTTGTGAAATCCCAGCAGGCAGGAGTATTGGTACAGCATGTAGCTTGTAAGCCTCACACTGTGACCAGAATGCAACACAGCATATCCGCTCTGACCGCAACTGCAGTGCAAGTGAGCAAGTAATCGGATGCTCTATGGTGTGAGAGCACAGCTGGGAATCTCAATGTACAGATTAAAGTTCATGCTTCACTTTCAATATGCTGCTCTCTCTTCAAGTTCTCCAGATAATTATGTTCAGCTTGTGTTTCTATCATAACCTTTTTTTAACTCCTTGACAAATTCAGCAATATCCACTCTGCCAGGTTGTTATAGCAACACAGTCAGAGCATACACAAACAGTGCTTTCTTGCAAAACCTTTAGTGAAAATGACAAGGATTGAACATAAGGAACATGCCTTCAGAAAAAAATAGGTTTATATTGACAACCGTAGGCAGGATAACAAATGCTCTCCTTTACATTCAATTTGTGCAATACTGATTAGTATGGCAGCCTGATCACCGCATAATGTAAGCCAAAGAGAGAGACAGAGAGAGATCCAGGGGATTTCCGTCTATCCCTCATTTAGTATTCTGCCTAAGGATTTGGGGAAATTAACATTTTGGATCAAATAATCAGTTATTTTCCCTTTAAAACCCCTTGGATAATTCACAACATCCCTTTTTTGAAAGAATTCGTCTTTGATAACAGCAGTTAACAATGAAGAACAGTCTTTTGTTTTATTTTTAACCAATACATCAGAAAAATTGTATATCTGACACAGGATTTAGTAGCTCATAATCACGAAATTTTAATAAAAAGCATCTGTCCGCATGTCTTTTCATATAAAATTGAAGGAACGTTACAGAAATTGCATGGTCAGTCTTTTCAGTGCAAAAATAAACCAACATTCCAGAGCTGTACCAACGCATATTTAAAAAAAAACATTTGGTAAAAAATATTTTACATAACATGAAATAGCACAATTTATTCATAAAAATAAAACTGCCCAGTTGCAGTACAGGCACTCTCAAGTAATTACTATAACAATTGTAGTGTCTGGAAAGTATGTAGTGACCATTGACCTGAGTGGATAAAAACATCATGTAGAATAGATCAACTCCATTTTTGCCTTAACATTTGGTCTTGTTTGGTTAGTTGAAAAAAAGGATAGAAAACAAGCGATAATGCCTGTAATAAGGCAACAATGGTTGTTGAATCAGTACCATTCAGTAGTATCCATTTGTGCAACCTTATCATTAGACATTTTGTTTAAGTTATAAGAGATGAGGGCTGCAGCTCCTGACTGCCAAAAGGCAAAGCGGCCACTTGGAGGCAGAATAACTCTATAACAATTTGACACACCCACTTTGGCCTTATACATGTAATAGTGTTTCTAATATACATTCTTCTATCAGCTCTATGCAAGTCTCCAACATACAGTCTATACTAATTTCTTAGAAAAACTTTTGTCTCTTCCATGCTCAAATTCCTTCCCCATGTTGTTGCTTTGTTGTTAGACAAGTAGCATACAGTTGGTTTACCAGAAGTGTTGCTGAAAAAACCTTCCTGCTGATAAAAGGTGGCTGAGAGTTACTAAGACAGAAACATACAGCAAATGTTCAGGCCACAAAACCAAAACAAAGAGCTTAAGGAAGTTAAAAAGCTCTGTAGAGCTGCAAAGTTGGGTGTTAATGCTCCGTTGCGCTTGCATGCACCTAGTAAATAACCTGGGTTAGAGTCAGCTTTCGTGCAGGACACAGACTTCAGACAGGAAAAGTGTGTCTCTGACAGCAGAGTGGGAAGCTGAAAGGGGAGATGTGTACCAAATATATCCCTGGTTTCTCCAAGTAACCTGATGTCTTGAGCGCATGTAAATGTGCCGTTTGTTAATATAGCAATATTGATTAGTTGAGCTTTACAGACAGCTGAAGCAATGCAATGTCAAAGCTACAGCACCCAAGCATGATAATGACGCCACAAAATAGCCGAGCAAACTGATTATACCTCTAGGCCTTTAAGATACATGACAATATGTTAATCCAAGCACCAAAAAACTTTAAAAATGTACTACTTACATGGCAAACCCATGCAAAATTGAATAAAAAAAAATTGGCCTCATACAGGTCCTGATGAGGCAAGCTGTCCTTAGAGATAGCCGACTTTGCTGAAAGAAAACGTGCCATCAGGTTTCACAAAAAGAAGACCGCCAATGAAGAGCACGGCTCCCAGGAACACAAATCCTCCAACCAAGGCTGCAAAGGTAGTGCGGTTCCCTGTGGGAGACGGGAGTTTTTGTTACATTCTGTCTCAGCTCATCTGTTCAGACTATCTATGCAGCAGAAGAGTTTCTCTGTTTGTGATAAACCACACATCCCAAAATAAAGATTATTGCTAAGAACAAAGCAATTAAAATTCCAGCAGTGGTTCCAGGGTGACTACCTGATGGAAAACAATAGCATTAAGCAATTATAGAATTATCAAAACTGCAAGACAATAATAGAGTTGCTGTAACATTTTATGAAAAATATCTTACTTGGAGCTTCGATGACTGTGAAATACTTGGTGCTGGAGCCCTGGGTATTAGACGCTGTGCAGTTGTAGGTCCCTGGAAGCCGAATGGATGGGGTCAAAATGAGCTGACTGTCATTCTTCTTCGTCTGTTGTATTGGGTGTGCGAAACCCCAGCTGTATACCGGCATTGGGTTTCCTGTAGCAGTGCAATTCAACATTATTTTATTCCTAGCTGAGAGTTCAAACGTCTCATTTTCGGGCTTGGTGAAGGTTGGCGAGTCTGAGGAAAAAATGTGTTGAAAATACAGACAGAGAGAAAAACAGAGAGAAATTCAGACGCAAAACAAACACCATATTCTCTTTAAAAAAACATCTAGAACTGTTATGGCTAATTCAAGATTGCATTAAAAACTTACACAGTACAATCAGTTTTTGAGGCTTGGACTGGATCTTGGGAAGGCTTTGTACCGGTGGTGAAAATAACATATTTGCTTCACACCAGACCTGAGCTCCGTTATAGCCTCTTTGAGCAGTCAGATTTAAGACGGATGAAGTATTGACTGGAAATGTAGTGTCATCATTAAATGAGTCTTTATAGATTATAGTATTTCCTATGTGCCAGACCACAAAGAGGTGTCTTATTGGTGCAACATCTACAATGTCACACTGCAAGCGATACTTTTCACCCTCGACCATGGGGTCCATTTGACTTGGCTGAGAGATGAAGTCCGGCATTTCTGTATTAAAAAAAAGAGTGACAATTGGCAAAACTATACAACATCACAAGCACTGAATTATCAAAAACTCCATTAATAATTAACATAAAAAAGTTAAAAGCTACTTACTGTAAACTGTGAAGTTTAGGGTTTCTGAACACTGAACACCATTTTCGAGATTAACGAAGCACTGAGGTTCCATTTTCCAGTCCTTCACAGAGTCTATTTTTAAGGCAACTGAAGATACCCCATCCTGTAGTCCTGTACCTGTTCCGTAAATAGCCTCCCAGCCCATTGAATCGATCTGGTTGGATGTTGAGATGCAGTTGAGCGAGAAGGGGTCTCCAAATCTCACCACAACTTTGGGAGGGCTGAATTCAATTTCACAGGAGGAACTCACAGGCTTTCCTAAAAGTAAAGGGTAAATATAGTTTACAGTATACACAGTAAAAAAAAAAAGTAGAGTTTTAAACAGCATTATGTTTAAAATATAGGTGTTTGACCAAGCAAAAGCTGATGGGACACGTTGAAAAGGTTGCAGTGATAATTGTTGGAAAAATAGTAGGCTTACTTCACACCACAGATTTCTTTTTACAATTGATACAAGAAAATGCATGCAACTGTAAAAGTGTTTACACTAACAATACGTTGTGCCCTGCTCGTTCTGATAGTTGAAAACGTTCTTAAATCATTCCAAGTGTAAACATTAAATACATTAATATTATTTACCAAAAATAGGTCATATATTTTACGCCACATATTCGTGTCTTATGTATGGCTGCCCTGATAATGGTTCAATTTCGACCCGCTGTTATAAAAAGCAAACCATTTGAGTCAGATCAGCCTTAAGAAGATAAAGCAAACAATGGGCGGAGGTCAGCAAAATACAAAAACAAGTTGGCCTTCTAACTTTACATAGCCTACAATGCAAAACACTTACCTGTAAACGCTATAAAGACGCTTAAAACGAGGAACAACTTCATGATTTATCCGTCGTACAAACCAGAAGCACTTTTAGGACTAAATAAGATTAATACATAGTACAGTTGATTAAATTCGAGTCCTTCGAAGCAACTTTCTCTTTCATTTGGTGACCGTGTAAAAGTGAGATGAGATCACATCGTAAGTCACCAAGGTACTGTAACATTATCCATGTGTGATGCATTGAAGTTGAAGTGCTCCTCGTAATTTTCAAACATTAGCCTCTAGAGTAGCATGTGTTGGTCGGAAGTAAACAGTGTCAATGGTCAATAGGCGGCGACTGAATGCAGGATTGAAGGAAGGATGATTGATTTGTTTAGTCTGCTTTATCGACTGATTTATTAATCGATTGAATAACATCCGAAAATTCGCGTTCCAGATAAACCTCTCCTCTAAAACAGGAAGTGTTTCTTGATTAACAACAATATTTCCTACAGCATTAGAAGGCAGCAAATATAGGCTGCAATCCAGCTCGCAAAACCGGCTGGCTTCAGTTAACAGCACCCTCCCGTGGAGCCGGTCCAGCAACACGTTCAGACTTGGAAAGTGTGTGCTTTGTATGGAGCCAGTTAGCGAGACAGACCATAGTTTTAGAAGACCAGTCTGCAGGATAGATAGTGCTGCTGGAGGAACACGGATATGCACGCCCCCTCTTGGTTAGCTTTAATTAGATGTTAACTCTTTTGATTTATTGTTTGTTCCTCCTTCCAAATATACAGACAAGACATTTCAAGTGTGGGATTTCTCACGGGTCTATACTCTGAAATAGATTAACCAGGCACGGATACATTTGCAGTTTTGGATATAAACAACAGTATTGCACTATAATTGTTGCTTGAAGACACAATAAAAATAGTGTTATGTAGCTTTGTATCATACATTTATACACATCAGATGTATTCATGCATGCATGCAAGCTTTCGATAACAAAACAATCTGTTTTAAAAGCCATTTTATTATTAAAATACAGTTTAACATCAGTCACAAATATTTACAGCTTTATTCACAAATCTTTTCATGTCCCTCACATTGAATTTACATTTACACACCAGACTGTTCTCCATGTTCAATACTAAATAGTTTTACCTTTGCTGTTTCTCATAAATAAATATAATTGTTTTGCATTTACATAAAACATCCGGAATCTAAAATTGTAATAGGCAATAAATGCCATTACAACTGTGGCACAAGACAATTTGTCCCATAAGGCCAAAGCCAGACACAATAAGGCACAACCTGGCACAGAGAAGGCTACACACTCAGAAAGAAGTGCAGAGTGGCTTACAAAGAATAGTAAAGGGACAATGGGGTCAATGAATAGTATGTACAAGCAATACTGTGAGAAGAGCTGATTCAATGTCACACCTTCTGAGAGGCGAAAACACTGCAAACTTCCTGTTAGTAGAAATTAAAACCACAGCAGTTTCAGGGTCATCACTTCCTGTGCTTTACAAAATCATGTTTGGTTTTTAAAAACAATTTCACACAGAGATCTGAGTTTGAGTGAATATTAAGGGGGCATAATGAGAAGCACAAGCGTTGGTGAAACCAATGTGGACAAAAAACATTCATAATCATACTTAATATGTTCTATAGTGAAAATACATTAAAACAGTTTTCTTGGCATTTTGAGCCCTTGCTCCTCTTCTTCCTTTCCAGTGAAAAGGTCAAATCCAGTAGTAAATATAAAAGTCTACATCTCAAGCCAAGGTTCATTATTTTGTATGATTAGATTATTCCATAAATGGTAAAATACTATTGTATGTGGGAAAATAGATGCAGGCTTGTCCAGTGTGAGCCTGCAGGCTGAGTCACACTTTAGTTTCTGGTGGCAGAGAGATGCATTCAGAGTGGTCAGCTGTTCAGTCTGTGCTACCTATAGATGTTCTGCTAAGACAGTTTAGTCATAGGAAACTGCATGTCACATCCGTAGTGGGCTACGTTGCCACTTTGAGTGTCAAGTTTGGCATTTTTAAGACTGTAGCGACGCATCTTGGTGTTCTTGTAGTAGATTGAGTAGATGAAGAGGAAGACGATGGAGATGGCAACTACTGTGACAGCCACAAATCCAGCTATGAGCGGAAGGTAGTCCTCTGTAAGGAAATCAAACAGGCAACATATTAACATTTATGAATATTAGAATTAACGGCTAAAAATACAAGTGTCAGATATATTTCATACTTCAACACATGCATATTACATTTGAACTTTTATGCCAGAAATATCATAATGGTTTCTACTGCAGGATAAATAAAGATGCACTTTGCTATTTGGATGAAAAACTGACAAATAAAAGTGTAATTCTAAATATAAACTTACAATTTGAACGTAACATTAAGGCAGGAAGACAGGCTTATTGGGTTTATAAAATATAAAACATGGAACATCTATAATGATAAACTATTACAACAGCAAGCAAATCATTGTAAAAAAATAAGCTTAACTTTCCAACAAACGTACCTTTACCTCCATCCATCCCTCCGGCAAATCGCTCAAAAAGATCACGGCGGCATTGTGTAATGGATTTAAATAGGTGGACAAAATCGTCCTTGAACCTGTATGTATTTTTGCTCTGCTCCTTAAGGTTAACCCCTACTCATGAAATATATTTTGCGAATAAAGGCTGTCTAGAGCAAAATAGTATAATTGATCTAGTATAATAAAGATTTGAGCAGCAGAAACTCATGAATATTAGTTTTTTAGTTTATATAATGTTTTATATTTACTTGCTTCAACCCCCTGCAAGAGATCTGTTTAACTACATGTTTACCTTTTAAAATCACTTCCACTGCATGATAGGTGGAATCCACTTCATTCGTGGCGTTGCATGTGTAGCGGCCGGCTTCATACACGATGAGTGTGTCTCCAGACTTGTGGGGCACTTTGTCTTCGCTGTACAGCCACTCGATCTCCGGAGGGGGGTGACCCTCGGCTTCACAGACAAGCTCTTCAGGATAACCTCTGAACACTGGGATCCTCTTTGGAAGCTTTGTGGTATTAATGCTGGGCTTATCTGTTGAGAAATAAAGAGCAAAAAACATTATAAATGTGCATTTTTACAATTTCTTCCTCAAGGAAATGAACACGAAATCAACAATACTTGTTGAAATGGACAGAATTAACATTGAATTAACACAGTATAGAATAACATAATCCATGGCAAATACAAAACTGGATCATAATAGTAAACATGGCATACAACTCAAAAATAGGATAAAATAAAATACATAACATAAGAGGGAGAGAAAAAAACACTGAATAATAATAAAATAATAAAGTTACAAATATTAACATCTGCCTATATTTGCATGATGCATCAATACACACTGCGGAAGCATCAACATGTCTCCATTCTCTTCACTCTGCTGTTTTCTACATCAGTTAAGGATGTTTGAATCTTTAATAGGAAAATAGAATTTCGTATTGAGAGCACTCTCCGACAACCTCTCTTCATGAGTTTAAGTATGTAATTATCATTGAATGTCCATCATCACTTGATCTTACAGTGATGATGATCTACTGAGCAGCAGTAAGTGTGATCTTACAGTAGACGGTGATGTTCAGAGGACTGGACATCATGTTTGGACGAGGCTTTGGTCCTTCAGCTCCAAGATCCAATATCGCTTCACATCTGAACTCTGCGCTCTTGTCATTTCTGTTCAGAGTGAAGCTGATGGTAGACGACACGTTCAGCGGGGACCGGACAGTCTTGATGTCACAATTTGTGTTGTTCTCAGGCAGGCAGCCACTCACTCGCAGTGAACCTGGACAATTGGGGGGGAAATTAAAAGTAAGTTGTTTGATTTTACATTTACACAATTAAAGTCTCTTAAATAAATACTTAAACCTTGCACATGGAACATGGATGCAATGTTTTTGTCCTTAGGTTGTAGAAACATACAAACAGAACAAAATAAAAAGTGGTTTGCAGATAGTATCATGAAATGAGTCAAACATAGATGCAAAAATTAGATAAACTGGTAAGAAACTAGTCATATCATGTCTAATCAAAACGTGATCACGTTTACAAATGTCCCTCACAGTCCACACCACTTTCCTTTCCACTAATAATGCTGGTTGTTTAATGAGCAACATCTGATTAAAAAAGGAAATGAGGCCTATCATCATTAGGATAACTAATGAATATGAAGGCTAATTACACATGGGCTGTGTAGGATCTGTTGTCATTAATCCTGTAAATACAAGTCCTAATTTGTCCCCCATGATAGGTTATATTAATGTATGCTGAATAATTACTTCATGTGGGCACATGTCTGTTTAAGCCCCTACACAGCTTCCCCTCAAGAGGCATTGTCTTCTGCCAGGTTGTCATTGTAAATAAGTTACCTGTTGTTACGTCCATGAGTAGGTGTCAATTGTTTTAGCATGGTTATACGGTTTGTGGGAGTGTTCCTACATGAAACACTTTCGGAACAAGATCTGTGGATTATCTTGAGTAACTGGGTAATTTTAGGGAAGTCATGTCAATCAATCAATCAATGTTTATTTATATAGCCCAATATCACAAATGTTACATTTGTCTCAGTGGTCTTCACAGTGTGTACAGAATATCAGTATGACAATACGACACCCTCTGTCCTTAGACCCTCACATCGTACAAGGAAAAATGTCTTGATATTTTCAAAAATATTTATGGGCGCTGAGTACCAATATCTCTAACACTCTGTAACTAACACCCAAAACAATCTAGATTAATACATAACCCTAATTGGTAAGATTTTGATTTTGGGGTGAACAGTCCTAAAACCATTCCTCACCTTTTGGTAAGGTTGTATTCCCTCGGTACCACTGCACAACGAGGTTCCCTGCAGGAGCAACGTTGGTAATGTCACACTGCAGCTGGAACTCCTTGTCATCCACCACTGAGCTCAAGTTATCCACAGTAGAAACGGAGACATTGTCTGGTGTTTCTGAAGAGAGGAAATCACAATTTTAAATCAGGATTCTTCCGACATTTTAGAAACATGTTAAAGGTTGATAAAAATTAAAGTCCAAAAGTTAGAAATACATACTGTAGAGGGTGAAGTTTAAATGTTTCTGGCACATTCCTCGTACATTAAATATTGCAGTACAAACAGGCTTTGGGTCCCAGTCTTTATAGGTGTCAACAGACCAACTCGAGCTGTCAATTTTGTCACCATGCAGAACCTGCCAGTAGATTTCTTTCGCATGAGGGTGGTCGGTTGATGTTGCATTACATGTCGCACGTTGCTCTCTGTCTTGGTATTGTACCACCATCCTCTCCGGAGTTATTTCGATGGGGCATTCTTGCCCGGCACCTGAGGAATGCAGAAGGGGCATGAAATGTTATTCAAAGTCTACACACATCCATTATCTTAACACAACATTTCCTCATCAAGGGTTGTGTTGAAATGTTGTGGAATGACTGACGAACAAAAGCTGGGTCTCAGGAGGAAACAGGAAAAGGCTCAGGAAGGATATACCCCCCTCCCATAGGAACGGTCTACATTTGCTTTCCTCCATTCTTTATGTTTGACTTTAACGTTATATCATTATCTCAAGATATATGCGTCAAATTCCCAAACCCATTTGCCATTCACTGTAATCTAAATTGGAAATGTACATACAATGTTATCAACTAACTGTAATAGACACAGGATGTGAGAGGAGGCTTGACACATTAGATTAGATGGACAAAAGGTCATACTAACTAATTATTACACCCCTAAAGCACTTGTTTTTCCATAATCCTTCACACAAACACACACAATTATTATGTGTTCCCATTCAAAGCACATATAATTACTACATAACAACAACATCTGAATAGCCCGTTTATTTTTAACTAGCTAAAACTTACTGTTGCTTTAAATTAGCTCATCACTCAGCACTCTACATAAATAGACCAATACAATCCCGTGTTTCGTTCCTTATAAATCTACCAGCCTAATGGGGCCACTTTAATCTCGAGTCGACACAAAATAAAACATGAGGTCTAAAACTTAACTCTCAACTTACTCGGTGTCCCGTTAGAAAGCGACAGCAGCTCTAACGCCAAGAGGACTGAAAGTAGACGAAGAAAGTTTAAATCTTCCATTAGAATAAAGTTTCTCCAGCTGCGGTCGACCCTCTTCCGTTAGACTGAGCGCCTCTGAGGTTTATCTTGCTTCCCCTCAGCTACATGGGACCAGCCGGAGGCTACTTGTTGACTTTTTGGAAGAAAGCTAAGCTAAGCTATGGTTGTAGGCACTGCTCCCAGCTCTACATCACGGCAGAGGAAATTGGGAAACAGCCATGGGAAACAACCCTCCCCCACGCACGCACACACACACACACACACACACACACACACACACACACACACACACACACACACACACACACACACACACACACACACACACACACACACACACACACACACACACACACACACACACACACACCCCCACACACACACACACACACACACACTGCAAGCCCTCACACCCACGCTATCTGTAATGTAACTATGAGCGGTGCCAGTTGGCTACAGTGAGACGTTAGCTTGTTTTAGCATTATGATAAAAAGATAGTTATAAAAATGGTGAATGTATTCAAATGAGTCCCTTTAGAGTTCATTGGGTTCAATTAAAAGTGTTTGGTAAATAATATATCGTAAAGGCTTACATTGACAATAGGTTTAAAACAATAAATATGAATTGTAGCCTACACATTACAAAATGAGAGTCTGTTCCCCAACTAAGTTAAGTGTGTTAAAAAAAATGTGCTTAAGTTTTAGAAATATTTAGTTATCCAGAGTCTCTTTTTGTAATACCAGTCAGACAGGAGAGCTAGTGGCAGAGCTAGGGTAGTGAAAGCTTTGAAGCCGTCAAGTGCTGGATGAAGGAGATCGACATACGGAAATCCCATAATCACAGCAACATTTCAAGTACAAAGGCTGTTGTACTGAACTGGATAAGTCCTCAACTTTCCTCGGTCTTCAAATATGAAAATACAGTGCCTGCATGTGCAAAGCAGTGCTCAATAAGTACTCTCTAAGTTTGTGGTGCTTAATTGTTTGTTTGTAGCCTTTATTTAACCAGGTGAAAGCCCCTTGAGATCAAAAGATCTCTTTTTCAAGGGTGACCTGCAAAATTAATAGATTTTAAGCAATGGATTTTGGGTCTCTGCCCTCCCTCTGTTAGTATTGAAAATATATTGTACGTCAATATTTTGAGCTTCAACAAACAGCAAACTGAGCTTCAATAACAAGATAGCCAACAAGCCATTGTAGCCTTCAAAAATCAAGATAGGAGGATGGGTGCTGTTTGCATTGTGATTGACAGGGGGACAAGTTATGCAGCGATAATGGAGTTCCTTCCTCTTGGTAGCCTTAAAGAGGACCCTCCCAACATGAACTGGCCTTGTGTTCGCTCAGCTAATCTGTCTGGTGAGTTCAAGTGGTTTCGTACTGTGAACTTGTTTTATACATTATTTCTAGTGATGTGCCAACTGGTGAGAACATGCAGCACTGATCGGTGTTATTCCATGTTTATTTCATGATTTTCTCCTTTAAAATAAATGTTTGTGGTGTACTGGTTTGTCATTTAAGGTCTTTGAAGTCATGGCTAAAAAAAAAAACTTCTTATATTCGCCTATTCAGCAGCATTCTTTTTATTGTGCAAATAATTCAGAGCCTCCTAGATTAAAGGCTATTTCTGTTCTTTCTTTGTTTCCCTATACAAATTATTGTTACTATTTGCCAAAAAGACAAGAAATGCACAATAATGTTAAAAAATGAATTAGACTGACAGAATTTTAGTTTTTGAACAATTCTGTAGATATGGCCGATATATATTTTTGGGGAATTATTTTGGCATCATAATCACATAGGAGAAATCTGATACTGTGACAGCCTAGTATACATAATATTGACCCTACCTTTTACCGTGACTGTGGCTGTTTTAGAGACATTTCCTCTGTCATTCCAGGCGTGACATGTGTAGGAGCCCTTGTTGTATACAGTAGCGTTATGGATGTGCAGACGGGACACTCCATCTTCATTTTCCTCCACCACATTGGCAGTCTGATAATAATCCCAGAGATAGTTTGGTCGTGGGTTCCCCGTTGAGGAGCACTTCAACCACACATCGGAACCAACATCAACTTCTGAGTCTTCAAGCTCGACTATCTGGGATGGTGGGTCTACAGACAACAGTGAAACAATATAAGTCATAATAGAGAAAAACGCTCAAACGAAAAGTAAATATTGAGGATTTTCATCAGAATAACTTACATACGACATTTATCTCCACTGTGACGTTGATACTTGACAGATTGTTTGAAGCTGAGATCACATACTGTCCTGTATCACTTCTTGTCAAGCTTTCTGGAAGGGCCACCTCGTCTTCATCTTTAAACCACATAACCTCAGGTTTAGGAAAGCCCTCAACAGTGCATGAGAGGTTGTGAGGAGCGTCCTCCAGTGCAGTGTAATTGCTCGGACACTTCAACTCTGGTTTATCTGGTAACAAAAACACTTGTTCTTTAGTATACAGTGGATTGACAATACAACAGCTAGCAAGTGGTGTTCATAGTTCACTACATTTATCAGACATTTATATAAACAGACTTTTATGTGAATTACTTTCCATGCAGTTTAAAGTTTTGTAAAGTTTTCATCTGTTCTTATTTGAATCTTGTCGGTGTGTTGAGTTGTTTAAAGTTGTTAAACCCTAACCCTAAGGGTTAAACCCTAACCCTAACCTAACCCATCTCAAGCAGATACAAATAGTAAAAGTCTAATTACACATTAAGGGATATTTAATAGTAACCAAAAAATATAATAATGTAACAAGTTGGGCATTCTGCATGAAAAGTACTTGAAGAGTTTTATACCTAAGTATGTTAAGATGAACAGACGTCTTTACTGTTACTTTAAGCCTTGACACTTGCAGTAGAATCATTTTTATACTGTAGTATTGCTTTTTAAACTTAAGTAAAACACTACTACAGATTAAAGGAACAATCCTGACAACAGGAAAAGCAGAACCCAGAATCTGTGTAAAATATATGTGCAAAATGTTGTAAATATACAGTAACCCCACCACTAATATTGTCTTTATGCTCATGTGATTGCTGTTTGTGCTGATGACTGTGATACTCACACCACACAACAATCCAGTGTTCCGTTGTGGTTGATTCAGCGCCTTCAGCTACAGCGAAGTACATGCCTGCGTTCTCCCTGCTCAAAGGCTCGGTCGGTTCTATGGATGTTCCATTTTTCGACCATGTGACCGTCGGTATAGGATATCCCATTACAGAGCATCTTCTTTCCAATGTTTCTCCTTCCAGTACAGCAGCACATTGAACCTCTGGTCCAACTATACAGAACCAAAAACAACAAGAATTTATACTATTGTACTTTTATTCAACAGAGAAAAATCATTTTAGGCTTAAATGACACTTGTAACTTGTGATTATATTCTTTTTTGATTAATCTAGTCATTCTTTTGTTGAATAATTTTTTGTGTGTAAAATTTAAAAAGGGAAAAAATCACAAATTGCTACAGCTCAAGGTGACATCACAAAGTGTCTTGTAGTCCAACAGGTCAAATGTTTGGTATTTATTCTTGACAAATGACAGGATTAGTAGTTTAAACAGTTGCTTATACATTTTCAGTTGATCTAATTATTGCTTTATTGACCTAGCATTGGCTCTTCAAGTGCCCTTTTATTTTTGCAGACCTCTCAAAGGGCATTTGAATTACTTAACAATAATGTAATGGGTTCTTTATTAGCCCATGCTACACCCTTCCAACTGTATTCATGTAAATCAGGTATGTACTGTCTCTGTAATCCGGCAGAAGAAAAACAAACCTTGATGGAGATAACATATGAAATAACAATAGAAATACAAAATACAATTGACAGTTTTCTTAAAGCCTATATAACTTAAATAGGCTTTCAGATTGGTGAGTGAGTATGCATTATATACTTACAAAATACTGTAATATTATACTCTTGTGAAGATGCATTTAGTTGTGGACCTTCAGGTCGGAGGTCCAAGTGTGCCTCGCATCTGAATGTTACTCTGTTGTCTTGTCTGGTCGGTATGAAGCTAAATATAGATGACTGATTCACTGGTTCCTTACTGGGATCTTTAAAAGTGTCTTCATAGACCATTTCATCTCCTTTGTACCACTTTACGGTGAGATTTATAACAGGAGCTATATTCTGGATGTCACATGTGAAGTTATGTTTCTCCCCTTCAGACATCTCCATAAGTGGGCCACTGCTGGAGCTGAGACTGATGTTTTCTGGGAATGCTGGAGAAAAAGTAGATACATTGTTAGACATAGTATCAGACAGAGTATCATTCTGATTTCCCTCAAAATGAGCAAGACTTACTGTAAAGTACAACTTTAGGGTTCTTGAGACACTGCTGAAAGGAACTCTCCGGGAACGGGTTGATGTAGCATGAGGGAGAAATTGTCCATTCTGTTAGCTTCTCCACTGTCCAGGCCATATGGGTGACACTCTCTAGACTTTTGCCTCCTTGTGAAGCCTCCCAGCCAATTCCATCAAATAGGCTCTCCGATGTGCTGCAGTTGACTGACACCGAGTCTCCATATCTCACCACAACACTGGGGGGGCTCAACTCAATGGGACAGGAGGTAAATACACCTGCAGCTTGGGACATATTGTAGCACATTCACATAATTGTCACAAGAGAAAAATGTCCTTGCATTTGTTCCCTTTGTTTGTAAGGTGATTAAAATGCATCAACAACAGCTTAGTTGGTTTTTGAGTGCATGCACAATGTGCGTCAACAATAGCAGCTAAATGGGGTAAAAAATAAACTTAAGTGTTTCAATTACAGAGGCATTTCCCTTAACTTGAATGTATCAAACAAGGTTTTAGGGCGCTGTGGATTTCTCCAGTAATAACTGTGATTGAATGAGAAGATATAGAGCAAATAGAGTTTAATGACACATCCTGGATACAGATTGGATATCCAAGAAGGTGTTGTTTCTTTGGAAAATTTGAAGTTGGAAATAAGTAGAATGAAAAACAGTTTCACTTTTAGTTTGAGTAGAAGCCATCAAAGATTTCCCCAACTTTCCCAATTAGCCACCAAACGCCCTTTACTTTTAAATACTGTTTTAAAACAATTGTATTAACAAAAAACGAACAGTTGTCAAACACCAAACGTTAGAGAAATTGTATTTGTGGACTTAAGCCATTTACAATTCAGGTAATTAATTATTGAGGCAAGCTCTATATCCTCAGCTTCTTCTAAATCTTTTCAAGATCTCACTTTGGTGTACATTCAGAACTGTGAAATACATTTCGGCTGTTTTTCAGCTCTCCTTGGAGATGTGCAGCTTTGGTCAATGCCAGTAGCCGCAACACTGTTACATAGATAGGCTTATCCAAACGCTTTTAATTTGAACAAATTAAGTAAGGGGCCGGATTTTAAGATATTTATATTCCATAAACCTTTGTTTGTGACGGCTGGTCAAAGGCTTTTAAAGTTCTTTGAAAGGTATTATTCTAAAAGACTCAGATTAAAAGCCATTTTCGAATAACCCAATGTGAAGCTCTTTGTTTGCCCTCCGTGCACAATGCGCTGGCAGTCCCTTTCTATATACCGCCCCCTTCTGGTTAAAACTAAGTTGTGCACCCATCACTTACACTTCACACTTTTACCTATTTTACATGTTATTGTTGGCGCTTGGTTTATTATAGCATTTGCTCGTATACAACGTTTTCGGAGCCTATTGAATACAAGCTACACTTCATGGTTAACCATTAAATATTCCCTGTGTTTAATAACAGTACAAAAATAAAGGTAACAATATCATACATTACAAAGACTTCTGAGCATTGTGAAGACCTACCTGTCGCACTGAGCAGGACCCCCACGAAGATTCGAATAAATGATGTACTCTCACTCATTTCCGTTGTTTACTCATTGGATTTTAATAATGTCCCTTCTGTGGTTTATCCCAGCTCTGCTCGGCTTCTCTCCTGGGCTGCAGTGTCCGGTCCGTAATAAACCAATGAAGTACATTCAGAGGAGAGAGCAGAGAGAGGAACACAGCCAGCACACTGGTAGGTATACTCTCTCTCTCCCTCTCGCTCTCCGTCTCTCTCTCTCTCTCTCTATTTATGTACGGTCGCTGGTGGTTTGTGTGTGGGAGTCAGGCGATGTTACTTAGCCTTGTTCCGCTGCTATGTTGTTTTTAGCACATTTACATAGATTGAGGTTTGTATTTTATAACATGTAATTGACACAATCTGAGAATATCACATTCAATTGAGATTGGGTGGATTAAGATTTAGACCATTTAAGATTCTTTGTGTAGCACCTTTGAACAATAAGGCAGTTCAAAACATAATAGGCTTCAGGGGATAATACATTTGAGCTGCTTTACACTCCCAATATACATAATGGCTCAGCAGCAAATCTGTTTGTAAGTAGGTTTGAAACTGAAAATATCTCTGTTCAATGATCATATAACTAAATGATTGGCGTGTGTGCTGTTTTTTTACTGGTTTCAAATAAATATAATTGAAATTATAGAAATGTTTTACTGTGTTTACACATTTCACATATACAGTGGGGCAAAAAAGTATTTAGTCAGCCACCAATTGTGCAAGTTCTCCCACTTAAAAAGATGAGAGGCCTGTAATTTTCATCCTAGGTATACCTCAACTATGAGAAAAAATGAGAAAAAACAACAACAACAACAAAAATCCAGAAAATCACATTGTCTGATTTTTAAAGAATTGATTTGCAAATTATGGTGGAAAATAAATATTTGGTCAATAACAAAAGTTCATCTCAATACTTTGTTATATACCCTTTGTTGGCAATGACAGAGGTCAAACGTTTTCTGTAAGTCTTCACAAGGTTTTCACACACTGTTGCTGGTATTTTGGCCCATTCCTCCATGCAGATCTCCTCTAGAGCAGTGATGTTTTGGGGCTGTCGCTGGGCAACACGGACTTTCAACTCCCTCCAAAGATTTTCTATGGGGTTGAGATCTGGAGACTGGCTAGGCCACTCCAGGACCTTGAAATGCTTCTTACGAAGCCACTCCTTCGTTGCCCGGGTGGTGTGTTTGGGATCATTGTCATGCTGAAAGACCCAGCCACGTTTCATCTTCAATGCCCTTGCTGATGGAAGGAGGTTGTCACTCAAAATCTCACGATACATGGCCCCATTCATTCTTTCCCAGTGCTTCTCAAAGTGTGGTCCGCGGACCACTGGTGGTCCATGAGCGCCCCCTAGTGGTCCGTGAGTATATTGGTAACATTTCACATTTGAAATAAATAAATACATTTAGGTTTTCCGCAATGGAGCGAGCTTAAGTTTCTTTCGATTGCATGATATAGCCCATCGCAACACCTTCATCACACATGTTGCCACTTGTTTGTACCATTTTCAGGCGATTTGTAATCTGTTCTAGAAAAACGATGTGATTTGGGATATTTGTGGAGTTAGGTGCTCCGCGAGTGTTTTTTTATTGGTTAAGTGGTCCTTGGTATGAAAAAGTTTGAGAAACATTGCTTTACACGGATCAGTCGTCCTGGTCCCTTTGCAGAAAAACAGCCCCAAAGCATGATGTTTCCACCCCCATGTTTCACAGTAGGTATGGTGTTCTTTGGATGCAACTCAGCATTCTTTCTCCTCCAAACACGTTTAGTTGAGTTTTTACCAAAAAGTTCTATTTTGGTTTCATCTGACCATATGACATTCTCCCAATCCTCTTCTGGATCATCTAAATGCTCTCTAGCAAACTTCAAACGGGCCTGTACATGTACTGGCTTAAGCAGGGGGACACTTCTGGCACTGCAGGATTTGAGTCCCTGGCGGCGTAGTGTGTTACTGATGGTAGCCTTTGTTACTTTGGTCCCAGCTCTCTGCAGGTCATTGACTAGGTCCCCGCGTGTGGTTCTGGGATTTTTGCTCACCGTTCTTGTGATCATTTTGACCACACAGGGTGAGATCTTGCGTTGAGCCCCAGATCGAGGGAGATTATCAGTGGTCTTGTATGTCTTCCATTTTCTAATAATTGCTCCCACAGTTGATTTCTTCACACCAAGCTGCTTACCTATTACCTTACCGATTCAGTCTTCCCAGCCTGGTGCAGGTCTACAATTTTGTTTCTGGTGTCCTTTGACAGCTCTTTGGTCTTGGCCATAGTGGAGTTTGGAGTGTGACTGTTTGAGGTTGTGGACAGGTGTCTTTTATACTGATAACGAGTGCAAACAGGTGCCATTAATACAGTTAACAAGTGAAGGACAGAGGAGGCTCTTAAAGAAGAAGTTACAGGTCTGTGAGAGCCAGAAATCTGGTTTGTTTGTAGGTGACCAAATACTTATTTTACCGAGGAATTTACCAATTAATTCATAAAAAATCCTACAATGTGATTTCCTGGATTCTTTCCCCCCATTTTGTCTCTCATAATTGAAGTGTACCTAGGATGAAAATTACAGGCCTCTCTCATCTTTTTAAGTGGGAGAACTTGCACAATAGGTGGCTGTAAAGCCGTTGTGTCCTTGGGCAAGAACTTGCTCCTGTGGGTATTGTCCACAGTGATCATTGCATGTATAAAAAAAAAAAATAATAATAATAATATGTGTAATGTGTATTTGGAAAGCACTTTGAGCATCTGGAAAAGCGCTATAATAAATGTAAGGAATTATTATTATTATTGACTAAATACTTTTTTGCCCCACTGTATAAACAAAGACCCCCTATCTCCCTGAATAACAATGCAAAAATCCTGCTGCTTTCATTCAAAATAAGAGCCATAGGGAACAGATTTGATGGCAGGAATAGCATAATGCTGCTTCTTGTTCAAGCTAAACTGTCTAAACATTTTTTGTACGCATGCCCAAACTCCTTAAGGTCACCGAAGCAGAGATTCACACCCACATGCAAGACAAAATGAATCTCTGCAGCCCTCCCAGCAAAGTGATTCATATTTTGAATCGTTAAAGAATGTTTTTCTTACCAAAATCTGACATGTTTACCTCATTTATGGATACTTTTTGATTCTGAAATTACATATGTTCTTCTCAGTGTTAACATACTGGCTTGTTTCATAAGTACATTATAGTTTCTTTCACTTTCACAAGAAGCAATAACAATAAGTGGAATTTCCATTCTAAACAGCATGCATGCAGTCACATCCTGTTTTTAGATGTTTCAGATTTCAGAATTGCGGGATATTCCAGGATATGAGTTCCTTGAAATGGGGAAAAGGTTACCCTGATGGGAAGGATGTAGGAATGCTAATGATGAGTAAGCGTGATGAATTTGTAGAAGACACATCTTCAACAGTAAATCACAAATCTAGAGGTAGACACAGCTTTTGTAGGGAGGTTTAGAACATGTAGAGTAATCACATCCTCCCTTGGCCCTTGTGACCCACAGAAAGAATGAATTGGAACCAGAACAATGTGTTTGTATAGTTGAAATTGGGAAAGTGGGAATGCTGAGAATAAACAGCTGCACACAGTAAGTCGTTTTCAATCCAGCGAGGGTCAAAGTTTGTTTGAGCAGTCCATCAGATGGGAGCAGGAGGGGATGATAGGAGAAGATATTCACCAGGGGAGGTCGTGAAAGACAAGCAGTTAAGAAAACAAGCATTGAGATTCCAGTCGTGTTGCTGAAACCCTCCCTACTCACAAAAACTAAACACAGGCAATACATGCACTGTTCTGCGATCTCACTACCAGAGGTTTGGGCAACCAGTAAATCAGAGCCAGGGGGTGGGATCAGAATTCCAATAAATGGTTATTGGACACATGCCAATAGTTTGCTTTAATCTCTTGACAATGGTTTGTTTTTTCCCAGCAAAAAAAAACAAAGGGACTCAAAATGAAACAAAATGCTGCCAAACAGAACTCTATGTTCAAGTGTGTTTGGCTAATAAATGATATAAAGCTTGCAATAGGATAGCTATCAGTTTCATGTTCCTGTTGGTGTCCAAAGTCATACAGGGAACAACCTCAAAAAGCCTTGCCGGCGTTTACAGCTAATTTGGATTATTGGTTCTCAGATATTTACACAAGTGAGTCACAAAATACCTAATGGTGTGTAAAATGGCAGCTTTAGTACGGGATGTTTCTTCTCAAGCTGAAGGGTTTCTAAACACGTGATGAAGTGACAATATTGATCCGTTTCCAGCAGCGTAAAAGGTCATCTTAAATTTGAGTTGGAAATAATCTCATCATCTAGATGTTCTTTGTTGAAAAGTAAGTAGGGGGGTACGTCAAAGGAATTAGCTGTCAGGATACCAGTAAAACATAAAGGATCTAAGGGACAAAGTTACCTCTTTAAACTTTTTACTGCAACAAAAAGGAAATAGCTGTGGAAATATGACAAGGAAAAACACATGACTACATGAATGCGGATCCAGTAACATCCAGAATCTGTTGGTACACTGATAAAAGGACCTTGTTGGTTACCAGATGCTTTTTTCTCACCCTGTCGTTATCTGTGCTTAATGCTGAGTTGCTGTTTAATATTCAACCAGTGGATTTGTGTAAACAGAGAACAACCCCAGAAACATTCACTATGCAACAATATGAGTGTTGTCCATTTACTCACTGAAGCAAAGCGTACTGTAATGTGATCATGGAAAATGCATGAGTCTAACAGAGGTCCCTCTGTCCTCCTCAGATTCCTTGTGTCTCTGCTGGCATTTTGCAGCCAGCTTCTTTATCTTATGCGAAAATAACTGGCTGGACACACTGTAAGCAGGATTTCCTTTCAAAGCTTTTTACTAGATAATGTTCTGTCCTTCAGAGTAATTGAATCTTACCTGCGAGGAATACTGCAAACACAGGCAAAGCTTAGTCATCTGGATTCCAAAGAAAATCACTTTACTCATCCACACAAGACAATACACCTCTCCACTTTCAGAAGATCCCAGGAAGTAAAACTTCATTTTATTAACCAGGTACAGAATTTAGGCCATTTATCTTGGTAGTTAGAGTTGGTTTTCTTTTCTTGATTTCTATGCGGACCTCAAACTGCACTAACAAAGAGCTAGGACGCTACATACCACAACATTGAGTAAGATTAATTCCCCTGCCAAGGGTTGCATTCTTCCCTTGA